GGCGAGAGGGGGTAGTGGTGCGGTGAGCCCTGGGAGAAGGGGGTAGCAGCGCGGTGGGCCCGAGAGTCAGGGGGCATACCTGAGAAGTCCCCAGAGTGGGTGCGGAAAGCCGCAGACAGGGGGCAACATTGAGAAGCCCAAGTGTGGGCGCAGAGAGCCCCAGACAGGGGGTGGTATTTTAGAAGCCCAAGTGTGGGCGCAGAGAGCCCCCCAGAAGGGGGGCATTATCAAGAAGCCCCAGCGCTGGCGTAGCGGGCCCCAGGTGGGGGTGCTATTGTGAAGGCCCGAGACTGGGGGGCCACATTACAGGGAAGGCCCCAGAGAGGGGCGACAATACAGGGAGGCCCCAAGTGGGGTCAGAGAGCCCAAGAGGGGGCAGCATAACAGAGGAGGCCCCAGAGAGTGGGCGAGTGTACACAGGAGGCCCCAGAGAGTGGGCGAGTGCATAGAGGAGGCCCGAGAGATGGGCAGTGTATGTATAGAGAGACAGACCAATGTCTATCCCATCTGCGAGGCTTGGGGCATGGTATCAGGGGTGGTTGGAGCCACACGTAGCCCATAAGGCTAGGGTGCCTGGGAAGCACCCATCATACAGGGAGACCCCCAGTGGGTCCAGGAAAACATGGGGACAGAGGTCCCAACTAGCCATGCCCAAGGAGTCGTAAGGCAGCCTCCCAACCTTTTCTAACCATCAAAGACGTGGCGGGCGAGAATCTGAGGGTGCCCTTGGGCCGACTTGGCACCGAAGAGGGAGCCTTAAGGAGATCACGGCCCTCCTGCAGGACCCCGCCGTGACACCCGACACTGGTGTAATATTCAAAGTTGTGGTAGGTGAGTTTGGGGGTGGTCCTCGAGACAACCGACACCCACCTCAGGGGTTTCACGAAGCTGTCGAACATGTACCCCTTATGGCGCGGACTAAGGCTGCATGTGAGCATGTGTTCAAAGCCAGATGGGTGCACTTTGTTTCTACCATAAAACTGGATAAAAGTGGGTAAATAAATCAATCAATCATTCAGGCTGGAGCCAACTTTCCTCAGTACTTATATGTCCTTCTATTACCATATATCTGGGCATCTCAAAATCTTTAATGTACTTCCCCCATCAT